CATGCTCCTTACAAACTAGAGGCTGGTTATAAAACAAGTCACTTTGACTTCCAACATGTCAGTGATTTGTGACTCGGGGGTTTTTTTTGGTGGTTTTGTGGTGTAAACAAAGTATTGAAATGACTGGGCTGTCTTCTAAGTGAGAAATGTTGGTCGTTTACAACATAGGCACCCACTTCGCCTCTAGCTGGGGGATGCTCAACACCCCCCATTTGCCCCAGGCCCTGCTCCCACTCCATCCTTTCCCCCAAGCCCCTGTCCCCGCCTCCCTCCCAGAGCCTCCTGAACGCTGTGAAACAGCTGTTTGCGGCGGGCAGGAGGCGCTGGGAGGTGGAGGAGTTGATTAGCAGGAGCCGCGGATGGGCAAGAGGCACAGGGGTGCAGGGCGGAGGAGCGTGGCTGCTGGTGGGTGCTGAGCACCCACTCATTTTTCTCTGGAGCACCCATGGAATCGGTGTCTATGGTTTACAACAAAGGGCATGTCACAAGCGCCGATGGACTCAAACAAGCATCTTGATGCTGCATTTCTTGGTTTTCGTAAGTCGATGTTCTAGGAAGGCAGCAGATACTGCCAGACAGCTTCAACTCTGCACTAACTAAATTGCTTTTGAATTTTAATAGCCACTAGGTATTTGTAAAGTGCACAGCACAAGACCCTGAGCTCAGCTGGGGCATCTCTGTGTGCCATCATTATATAAACGGTAAATCTTCATTCACTACCCAGCACAGCTGTGTTAAAGCAGTGGTTCTCAACCCAGGGTACATGTACCCCTGGGGGTACGCAGAGATCTTCCAGGGGGCACATCAACTCATCTAGCTATTTGCCTAGTTTTACAACAGGCTACATAAAAACACTAGTGAAGTCAGTACAAACTACAATTTCATACAGACAATGACTTGTTTATTCTGCTCTATATGCTATACGCTGAAACGTAAATACAATATGTATCTTCCAATTGATACATTTTTATAATGATAGGGTAAAAATGAGAAAGGCAGACATTTTTCAGTAATAGTGGCTGTATCACTTCTGCATTTTGATGTCTGATGTTGTAAGCAAGCCGTTTTTAAGTGAGGTGAAACTTGGGGGTACCCAAGACAAATCAAGACTCCTGAAACAGGGTACAGTAGTCTGGAAAGGTGAGAGCCCCTGTGTTAAAGAATAACCTCCCTTAACCCCACGCCCACTCAACCAGCTCCTGCTCTGTTCGCTTTGCGAGACACACAAACTGTTAGGGAAAAAAAAGTTTCGTGGTGATGCAATGCGGGTGAATCACAGGTCAGAAACGACCAAAGACTTAAAGGGAGAAGCGGAAGCACAAGCTGGGGCCAGTCTGTCTCAGGCGGGCGAGCAGACGGGAGCCAGGCGGGGCGAGTGACAGCCCCACACAACGGGCCCGATCCGGCCGGGGGCATCTGCAGTTACTTTGAACCTCTAGAAGCGGAGCCGCCCCTGGATCCATGACTAGGCCGGGGGGGCCCCCACGGACCGACCCCCCCCCGGTCCGGCTCTGACTGGGGAGGTGAGAGGGGGGCGCTGTGTAGGGAGCCCCCTGATGGGGGAGCGCTACGGGGGGGCTGTGCACGAGGGTGACTCCTAGGCGCCCCCCCGCCCGGATCCTGGGGCGGGGGGAGGGAACTGGGGCACCGTACACGGGGCGCACTAGCCATCGGGGGGAGGGGCACCCCGCCGGGGGGGCACTGCCGGGGGAGGCGGCATGAGCCTGATGGGGGCGGGGCTCTATGGGGCTCCCCCCGCTGGGGGGACAACGGGGTGGGGGGCAGCTCCT